AAATTTTATGTTTCAGTTTGGACGCTGGAGCACGTGTGTCCCTGTGGGGTGCATAAAGGCCAGATTAAATGGAAACTGAGATGGCATTTCTTTTAAACTACTCATTTGGTGTGTATACTCACATACAAATCAAATGCTAATGATGAAAAGCAGGATATTATCCTATCTAGAAGCTGTGAAGGAGTGAACCATAAATCCAGTGCTGGAGGAGATTATCTAGTATTTACCATGTCTTGTCATTTCACTGAATTTTTGGCAATATTGGGGTGTTTTCTTCAAAGATCCAGAGCCAAGCATCCTGTGAACCTCTGCTGCCATTTAACAAAAAACAAGTCAACAAATTCATAATTGCAAGAAAAAGCTTAAAAGTGTGGACGGTGAAGCTTAAAAAGAACGAAGAATAAAAACTCAGTGTTTGTTTTTAATCCTATTAATTTGGATGAAGGAGGGGCCCTGGTGAGCTTTGAAAGATTTTATAGATGTCTCTTTGGGCCCGTGTAAGGAGTGGTTTGCTTAGCAAGAGGTGCACCGTGCCAAGACTCTGTCAGAGCTTCTGCTCCTGCTCAACGCTTAGGCTCCTTTGGCCGTGGCGCAGCTTGCTGGGACTGGTAGGAGCTCTGTGTGCGTGTGCGCACATTAATTATTTGTACTGGAGGAAGGCAGCTTCCTCAGGAGTTGGTTTCTAACATGAGTACCTAAAGGTGAAATCTCATTGCTTCTTCCTAGATGTCTAAGAAATGTCCACCAGTAGGCCCTCCAAGATAAATACTGTTTCCTTCTCAGTGCAGATAGAAACGCGACCTGGGAGAGCACTGCAAAAGCCCGCAGAAAATTGTAAGGAGAAGAGGGAAAGGCCCTCCCACTGTTCTTCGTTTGCTTTTCTCTCAGGGCAGAGCTGTACCTCCAGCCCATGTGGAAATAGTTACGTCCAAATAACACATCCTGTGGGACTATTTCTAGTCATTTCACAGAAGCCTTATTAAAAAATAGAGACTTTATTAACCTGAGATTCAGGGACTTGAATTCATGATAGAGACTGTAAACTCTCAGCCTATGGTTCAGTTTTACAAGAATGATTTGAGGGCTGGAAAAAGGAATCTTGTGGAGAGAGACTTAAGGAGCTCAATTTGGTTAACTTAGCAAAAATCAGATCAGGCAGTGACCTGACTCTGTGCAGTAATACCTTTATAGGAAGAAATACCACATACAAAAGGGCTTTATAGTCTAATGGAGAAAAAACATAACAAGATGCAATGACTGGAAATTTAAGACAGGCAAAATACAGATATAAGTATGAAAGCGGGGGCTAACTATTGGGACAAGCTCTTGAGGGGGGCAGGGGATTTGTCTTCTCTTTGAGTCCTGAAATCAGAACTGGAGGCCAGCCCAGATGACTTTAGTGAAACATATATTAGTAGGCTCAATTAGTGAGTGAATGTGGGAAATGAGTTTCTTGGGGGTTTATATGGAAGGTTAAACTAAGTGATCTGAATTCTTCCTTTCAGCCTTGAAAACTGGAGGAAAGATGCCAGAAGAGGAGCTAGATACCCAGACTCTACCAAACTGCAGTCACTAGCTTCTCCAGGCTCCTTTGGAAGTGCTGTCTGTGAGAGGAGACTCGGCTTGTGCCGAGCTCTGCGCTTACTGAGAGCAGACAGAATGATGTATGCCATCCCATGCTGCTAGCACAAACCAATTTGTAGCTGGTTTTCTTTCTCTGCCCTCCCCCCTCCACCCCTGCCCCCAGCACACATTTCTTTTCTATATTAATTTTTTTGAAACTAAAAATACATCCTCAGAGGTATTAGTCACTCTACCCACATATTAATAAATTGCATAATGATGCCACCAAGCATCCAAAAACCTTTCAAACTGTTATATATTATTTCTTTCAATAATATTCTAAAAGGCCAGTGAGTCTTAATGGAGCCACATGGTATTGTATTTAATCCAGAAATCTGGAACTGTCTAAAATCTAATATATAAATTAAGAAAATATACAATAAGTTTTTTTCATTTAATTTGGTTCTCCCCATTCGGATAGGCTGAAACACTGTAGGGCTGTGTCTTTTGCAAGAGATTTTGTCTACAGAATCTTAGATTTGTAGCTCTTGTTCTCACTTTTAATTGCTTAGGGCTGTTCTCTGTAATAATTCAGTCAGTTATTTGCCAGCCAAAGGAAAGTTTAATAGAACCGTAGTTTAACTGGGCAAAGTTTAAAAATTATGCAAGTTGCAAGAGGTTTCCAGGGACTTTTCCTCACGGTCTCTCTCCCATGTGGCTGCTTTTACCTTACTGTTGTGTATCTCACTGCCATGCATTGGAGAGAGGCACTGGTGAATTCTGCAGCACATTTCGCACTATTTTGCAGGTGTCTCATTCTCTACTCTCCAGAACTGAGCTGGGTATCTGTTATTTACACATAGGAAGGTCTATGACTTAAAATAGCCAGGAACTATTAAGTGAGGACATTCAAATCTAGGTACAAATGTTTCCCAGGTTGGAAAAGGGGGAGGGCTTCAGATCTGGGTTTTGAGCATGAAGCTGACTTTCATAAATGCCATCTCTGAAAAGGTCCACCTCTGCTGTAGCTCCCCTGAGCAAAGACAGTGTCTGTAAAAAGTAGGTGGCAGAGTTCTGGCAAGTTGTGGCACGTGTCAGACTATCAGCTGAGAAGGGATGAATAAAAGCTGCCTCTTCCTCCTCCTATCTTTTAATCCTATACTCCCTTAATACTCCCTATTGTTATCGGGTGGAGTAAGGCTGTGGAACAGGAATAGTGTAGATGGAGACCAGAATTTATGGAACTTCTTTTTCAGCTCTTGTGATTTGTAAACATATTAGTGACCCAAAAAGGCATACCCATTTACAGGGTTTAGAGCTAAATTGTTTCAATTGTCAGAAGGAGAAAAGTACATATTCTTGGGTGTATTCTGCTCTGCAGTTTGACATCCTGCAGGAGAAGAAAGCTAAGCGTGGAAACAAACTGAATAAGGTGATTTCTTGCAGGGTCAGTTAGAGTAGATGCAAAGGAGGTGGCGAAACCTGGAGCATACCTTTCCTTTGAGAGAATGTGTATGAGAATTAAACTCTTGCTGGAAATATATGTGACTGTATATTAAAAGCGGACTGCTTTGAATAAATGAGCCCAGGTTTTGCTGATCACTTGAATAAAGTCTCTTGCAGGCTTCAATACTTCTGTTGGTAATTTTCGGGGATTTTTTCATTTGCCTTTGCATTTTCCTTGGTTTGTCGGGACTAGACCTGACCCAATACCTTGGATAGAAATATTCCCAAGTCTGTAATCTGATTTTGACAAGCTGGTCACAGAGCTGGTCCAGTTTTGAAGAACTAGATGCCAGCACTTGTTGATCTCCTGATTTCCTTCCTCTCCCTTCCTGATGTCTTACTCACCAGCTGGGCAATTTAAAGCTTTGTAATCAGTCAGTGGCATATGGGAAAAGCTACTTTGCTTGTACCGACTTATGTGTCCTCTGATGTCCAAAGCAATATGGTCCTTTCCAAGCTAGGCTCTGCACTGTTGCTGCTGTACAGCTATCTACCTGCAATAATAAGAAGCGCCTCAGCACCTTTATTTATACCAAGTTTGTTAGCATGAGAGACTACCCCTAGAATTATCTGGATAATACAGTCAGAGCTGTGCTGGTCTTGTTACAAACTCCAGTGTAAAGGACATCTTGGTTCCGAACAAGATGCATACCATGGGAGGGAGAATCTCCATTGCGCTATGAAACTTCAGCAGTAGCAGCCGTCAAGAGAAAGACATGAGTTAACACAGGCCCTAGAGGTCCCACGAACCCCTCACCTCAGCCCAGAAGGCACGAAGCTGGCCGTAGGCACCTTCTTCATTGACTCTGTCCTCTCCTGGGTGCAGCACCTAAGTCCAAGTTTGCTCTTTAGGCTCTGTTCCAGGACTCATAAAACATTATTGCAGGGGTGAGTGAAAATGTACTTATTTTTGAGCAGGAGTGCAAGGTAATTTTCTTGCAGTCCAGTAATTCCCTCGTTTTTATTGGTATTGTTATAGACCAGCTTCTTCAAGGTGTTGGGATTTTGCCTATATAGCATCCTTCTTCACATCCGGTTCCAACAATAAAACCCTTGCGTTTTTGATCTGTTGCTTTCATGCTCGCTGACACTCTCTGGAAAATCTAAGAAGGGCGCAAGGAATGGGTTAGTCACACTTGTTAATATTTATCCCGCTGCAGAAAGAGCAGGGCTGACCTCAGAGCTCAGGCTTTGGAGAATAGTTATGAGAACGATTCCACTAAGCTGAAACGAAATCTGCATGCAAAGCTTGTTTGGTGCCTGGAAAGAGCTAGAAGGAAATAAAGGTCTTAAATGATATATTTCCGCAGTTAACGTTTTGTCCTGTTTACAGAATCTCACCAGAATAGTGGGGGTTTTGTTTTGTTCATATGTTTTTCATAAGTATAAATATCCATGCAGCTTAAACATTTTCATTAGATTCAGGCAAGGAAGAGGATGTGGGGCTATTTTTTTTCTTTAATTATTGATCTCTGCCTTTTTTTTTCTATGGTTATTGCTTAAAGCACTTTTCAGAAATAAAAAGCCAGGTAAATCGAAGAGACAGGGAAAGTGATTCTCTTTAATTATTCTTAGAGCAATTTTGAGTAATGTAGGCTAAAATTAAAAAAATATACAAGCAAGATATTTTGGCTGGGAAGCATGTGTAATGTATGAACAGCAGGAAAAAAAGCCTTCCTTTCTAAATAGAAAATCTTTGAAAGTAACAGGGGGAAACTGATGGGAAGGGCTGAAGTCCATATATTCCCACCTCCTCCGCCTTGTGCTCTCTTAAAGGTGAGCTGCAAAATGCAAAAGAGAAATGTGTTAAATTCAGATGACTAGCTTGGGTGTCAGGAAGTGGCTCTAACAAACACAGCGAGTTAGCTAACACATTTTCAGTTTTTTGTTTATTCCCCCCTCCCCTCCTCTTCCTGTGAAATCCTTTTTTGCTCGTATGGTTTCTGATCGCACCCGAGAGTGGGAGCGCTTGCCCACCTGAGCAGCGCCCCCCGAGCCCCTGGGGGAGGCCCTGAGACCCCCAGATGATGCTGGCAAGGTGCCGTCGAGGAGCCAAGAAGATTGGGGAGGATTTTCCAGAAAGTGAGAGAGGAGGAGAATTTTAGAAAACATATTCCTGTGCTAAATACGCTGCCTGCAGGAGAAAAGAGATAAGCTGTGAAGAAGCGTGTGGTGAGCTTTCATTGCTTTACCATTCGTGCGTTGTCCGGTCGATCGCTCTTGTTCTTGTCGTTCACCTGCTCTGCCTTAGGTGTTCTTCACCGTAGGAGCAGCACAGTTCCTGGCGTCTGATGTGTTAAGTACTTGGTTACAGTAATAAAAAATTTGAGTCACGCTGTGTTTGCCAATGAACGCTTTCAATTTTAGGCACAGACAGAAACAGTTGGATCTGGGGATTGTGTTTAGAACAGGAAGTAGCAGGATTTGGTTGGGAATTTGGATGTGTGCGTTAAGAATAAGTCTAGTTTAAAAGATGGGCCCCAAGTGGCAGATGTGGGTGTCTGGGGCTGTAGCGGTAGTCAGCAGGGAGGAAGAAGAGGCCTGTAGCTGACAGGTTAAAATTGGACAGACGCCTGTGAGCACCAGCTGGCACGGAGGCATCAAGGTAGGATAGCTGGATAAGTTGGACTGTACGACTCTACGTGGAAATGCAGCGTGAAGGGACGCGACTCATTGGGAGACAGTCCTCTGAGGCTCTGACAGCAGATTAAGCCACCAAAAGAAAGCCTGAAAGACGCCCTGGATGTGTCGGAAACAGCACCCCTGCCCCACGGCAGCTCCCACGAAGCCGTTCCCCATCTGCCCGGCCAAGGGCGCCGCAGAGTCCTCTGCAGTGGTGGCTGGGATGGAGGAACAGCACAGACCTGTGGCTGTTTCTCATTAGCTTCCCCTTTTCCCTCTGGAAATGTTCCCTTTGCCTTTCTCCCCCCTGCTTGGCAGCAGGTGTAGGAGGGAGAAGTTTTAAATCTAAATGGAATGGAGTTATCTGATTTACAGTGAGCAGATTTTTTATTGAAAATGGCAACACCCAGGGTAGTGTGCATTATCTTGCATCAGCATAACATGCACATGCACACACGCCGTGCCTTTATGTCTGTAATATATCAGTACTATATTAAAAGCTACATATGTGTCTGCATAGAGCTAATTCATGTACTACAGTATGTTTATCAAAGGACACTCCTTAATTACATCCTACATTTTTTAATTTGCAATTAAGCTGTAAGCCTATGTTACAAGTCTCTGCTGATTTATGTTCTCTTCATGAGGGGCATGGTAGTTGTAGTGTGACTGATTTCTGCATCGGTTTCTGTTTGTACTTCTCTACCCTTTAATAATTCAGGAGACATCTATATTTTCTCATTTTTTTCAAGAGCAAAACCAACTACATGTCTGAGACTCTTTAACCAAGGGAAGCCAAAAGGGTCTATGAAAACAACTCCTGCCCTCCTTTGTTAGGGCCACCTTGGTTCTATTTTCCCCTGTAACAAATTTTTCAGAAATACTTACTTTCCCTGATGGACAGAGAAATAAACTGTAGATTTATAAATGTCTCTGTTTAGTCAGTTGAATAGAAAGTGAGTAAATTGAAATAAAATGAGAAAGTAAGTATTAATTCACATTTCTCCTTTGGGAGAGAGTTTTAATGGAATTAAGAAAGAGGTTCTGCTCCTTCTTAGAACTGAGTTTGATGATGTTGCTCAACTTATGACTCAGTGGAGGAGGCTCAACACTTGATAAAAACATAGTGAGCGTGAAATTCAGGAAGTAATCACCTCGAAAGGAGTGGGGTTATTAATGCGAATGATGTCAACTCCTTCCATTTTTCAATTCCTTTTTTCTGACGGTTCTTTTCTGCACGGTGCGCCCTGAGGGACACTAGCTTGTGCGTGGCGCGGGCCTGCTCTCTGACCTTTTTTCTATTTCTCTCTCGATGCAGTACAGTAGTGCCATGGTTTCCACTTTGCATGAGATGCTACGTTGCAGGAATCAGTTCAAGCTTATTTACAACACATTACGGTGTAGCAACCAGCTCCAAAACGTCCCTTCACACTAGCGCTAGTAGCCTCCTCTTCAGAGTCTTCACGTGCTGTCACATTTAAAAACAAAAAATTACCAGTTATTGAAAGTTTTAAAACTTTGTGAGATGCAGAGGCTTCATTTGCGCAGTAAAGCCGTGTTATCGAAATATGAATTAGTAGCGTGTGTATCTGCGGGATAGACCATCTGCTGTGCTCAGCACCCGTTTTTGAAGCTGGTTGGCTGGCAGGACAGCATGTGTTTACAGAAAACCCTAACAGTTGTAAAGGAGCCATTTAGGTTTATCGTGTCAATTCCTGTAAAACTCCACGAGGAGAAATTCCTTCCACAAACTTGCATAAAAAAGACAGATAGACTAGTTTTGACCTCTCTAAAAACATTTGACAGTTAAGCTTGTTGCAGGAATAAAATATCTAGAACGGCAAAAAATCTTGTCATTTCGCCCCTCTGAGCATTAGACCTCTTGAACACAACATCCGTTCATAGCTTCGTTCTTACACTATAATTTAACTGCCTTTTATTTTCCTTCTGAGCTACAAACGCAGGAGTGGTACATGATTTTCATATGGTATTATGTGAGCCCTTGTGAAAAAGCTGTCCAGAGTAATGGCTCCATTTCAAAATGATACATATGCCAAGACACAGAATTCATTTATTTTTCTTAAAAATGAAATGAGGATGGGATTAAAAGTGTTATGTTTTGCGTAGATGAGCAATATTCTTCTAATCAACCATTCAAAATGTATTGCCTCCCTGTAGCTCCTGTGTAACACAAACAGTTGAGGGGAAGGCATGTGTGAGCATGCCAAAGGTGTTTACGCTGCCTCATAAACATTCATCTTACCGGGGCTATTTGGCTTATAAAGCGCCCAGGGTTGTTTCACTCGCAAAGCACCAATATCCTGAGGACAGGCTAGAACAAAACCGAGTCGGCAGCGGGGATAGTTCTCTATTGAGTTTTACTTTTTCCCACCAGGAGTAATTATTAAAAATAACAGCCCGTGAACACACTGAAGCCCTCGGTACTGCTTGTCAGGAATCTGCATGTGCAATTGTATGGGCAATTCATGTGCACAGGAATATTTGGGTGTAGAATAACAAGGGAATATTCTTCTACGTAAAGCTGAAGCTGAGACCAAAGCCTCTGGCTGTGGTGTCCTACAACATAGTGCACGGCTTTCGGGACTGGGAGCATAAATTAAGGAGCAGCCAGATGTGAGGTATCTCCGAGTAAACTCATCACAATGGGCGCAAGATTTAAAAAAAAAAAAAAAGCTCTCCTTAATAGGAGAGGTCTTAAGAATTCAATCAATTTAAAAAAGAAGTTTGTTTTTTTTTCTTTTTGATGGAAAAATGCATGAAACAAAATAAAAGCTGGCAAGATGGAGGATGATATGCTGAGGAGAAAACTTGCTCTTGTAGACATGTCCTGGCCAGCGATCTGTGTTAATAAGGCACCAAGTTTGGATACTTTAGGACTGGTAACACACAGGGAGATCAAAAGCTTCATAAAAGAATGAGTGTAATTGATATCCTAAATATTAATATAGTATGTTGACAGTTCATGAAGGGCCCTATGGTTTATGTTCTATAGTTGAGACTGGGGGGGAACTGGTGAGATGAGAAGAAAATTACCCTTATATAGCCAAGACTGTGCTCATTAAAATAATTTATCTAGCACATATCTTGGATGCTTAGATATGAAATACGAATGAGAAATTGCCTTTTAGCATCACAGATTTTTAGATAACTTTTGCTCACAGTCTTATATAGAGAGATATTTATATACATAGCCACAATTTTCCTTTAAACTGATCAGTCAGCTGCCTGCTGGCTGCTCGGGGCAGGTCAGACCTGGGGATTTGGCGCTCAGCAGTGAGGAGCAAGCAGGAGAGTGTGTTAGGCAGACCCTAGCTTTGCCAAGGCAGCCCATAAATACAAAGTCAGGAAGGCAGGGTTTCTCCTGGGACCAGCACTGCATATTTAGGGGTCTTGGGGGCTGCAGGGTGTCTCCAGCCCTAGTGGAGAGGGTCACTGGAAGGTGCTGACGGCCTAGGACAAGACTTTTAGGGAAGACCTCACTCCCCACACCTCTAGGAGACAAAGAGACATCATGGTCAGTCCCCAAAACGCAGCTGCTGAACATGGTCCTGCACCCTGCAGTATCGTCTGCAAGAGGCTGCGACAGGCACGTTCGCGCCAGATGTCGGGTCTGTGTCCCTGCCGCCGGGTGCCCACCTTGCCCATTTCGTACCGAGACACGTTCAGGGCACAGTTCCTCCATCTCACTGCAGAAGACATGGCCCGGCTCCGGATGTGTGCTAGCAAACAGCCTTTTTCGATAGGTGAGTAACTTTGATTCGGTTTGCACAGATCCCAGGTACTGGTCATCTATAGTGGTCCCTAAGGTTGAATATCCTATTTTCTTTTGCAAATGTCACATTACAAAATTCATTTTTCAGATTTAATGCGTGTGCAATTTCTTGGTCTGATTTTGTTCTTTCTTTATTTGCTGCATAATCATGGCTGCTTTTTCACCCATTGACTCCTAGAAATGCAGTGACTTGGGGTATGGCGTTTTTGGTGCCATTGGTGTTGTTATTAGTCCTTGGGCTTGGAGAGTTGTATAAGCTGTTTGTTTTTGTTACGTGGTGGAACACATTTCAAACAAAAGCATTGCGATCCATGCGATAGCAGGATTTTCAGCCTTTCTTTTAGCATCCGTGTGGCTCCACAGCAAGTGTTATGAATGTTTGCTGATATAATTGGGGCACTTTCATTGAAATCAGCAGGGCGGTGCAAGCACGCACCAGCTGAGAGAGCCACGTCACCTCTCTGCCTATTTTCAGGCGGTGTGCTGCAGCCTCTCGGGTCAAAGCAAAAATGTAATAGGATCACAAGCCAAAGTGTGTGGAAGATGACTCACTAGATTATTTTCTACATTTAAAATGTGACCTTTGTATTCCTGCCAATATATCAATACAGTCAGGCTCTCCCTCCTGCAGCAAGTATCATGTATTTATATTTATATATATTACATAATGCTTCAGTCGATATTTTTACCCCTTTTTATAGCTTGTTTATTTTGTTTTCCACATATATTTTTTTCTCCCACACAGTCACTGAAGGACCGAGAATGCGACCCATCCAATACAATTCCTGTAAACATACGTACCCGGGATGTGAATGGTGATGTATTTTGTAACCGTTTTCCTTCTCGTTTCAGGACTTATTGAAACTAGACAAAGAGACAAACGGGTCTGGAGTAGTGAGCAGCCCGTGACCTCTCTAACTTTGAGGAAGGAAAACCACTGTCAAAAGTGCAGCTGAGCTGAGGTATGGTCTTACACAGAAAAAATGGCAAATGGGTGACAAAACAGGGCAAAATCAGGTTTTCAGTTCCCTGGGATGGGAAAGCTCATGTTTTTCCTTCCCAAGGTGCTTTTCAGCCTCTCTTGCGATGTGGAGCTGTAAAGGCCGTCAGCCCTGCTGCGCTGCCAGCGGCAGGCGGCGGTGAGCTGTGACTGCCCTTCGCCATCGCCCTGAACAAAGATTTGGTGGTCACCAGCCCGTGAGTGTTTCTGGAACACGACCCTTTTCCTCGGGTTTTGCACGGGAGCAGGCAGGGGAGAAGTGCGTTGCGCAAAGGTCTAATTCTGCACCACCGAATTTTGCCTGCTAGCGGGGGCTTCGCTGGGAAGCGCCGGGAGAGCAAACCTCGTTGCAGAGCAGTTAGCATGACACAAACGCTGCGTTTTTAACCCGGACTGACATACTAGCCCGCTGTCAGTGGAACAGTTGATAAAGATTTAATGCTTGGTCCGCAGCTTAGGTTTTCCTTACCTTTTGCCTTGGTGCAATATGTCTTCCCCTGAGTTTATTGGTCCTCATGGGCTCCAGTTTGAAAGGCTGAGTTGAGACTGTTGTTATTAAGGAAAATGCAAACCACGAGCTCACAGTAGGGATACCTAGCTGATACCCCAACTAAAAACCTCACCATCAAAGCACCCAGTCTCAGGCATCATTTTATTCTCAAATGCGGGACATAAATATACATTTAATTGTGACCGGAACCCATAGCAATAACCTGTTTATGGGAAAACTCGACTCCTAGTCTAGAAGAGCTGTAATCTTACCCTGCCATCTGAAATTTGTTGCTTTATTAAGATTACTTTCTCTGCTGAAAAAAGTGAGTTAGTTTGAAATGTTTATTGCCCTTTGTCAGGATGGCAATATTTTTTTCTGCTTTGAAAATAGATGTTGCTGCTTATATGGCTGTATATTTATCCTTTCTTTTAGCTTTTTCATTACTGTTCCCTTTAATCATTTAATGAGCAGTGTTCAGGTTCCTGATGATTTAAAATTATGACTCACAGAGACACTGGCAATATCTTTGCTAGAGTAACGTTGATCCTCTAACTTTAAGACTTTAAATTCAAACCACATGTTTTTGCCACTAACTCTGAAAACAACCCCTGGAGTTCTGTGACTGTCACTAGAAAATAAACCATAGCTTTTCTATAACTCTCTGCAAACAAAAGCCACAGTATTTAAATTGCGGTTATGGTCAGAAAAGTGACTATTTTAATCATTGCTCTGTTTTACTCGAGAGATCTGCTCCCTCTGCACATTCCAAATATCTCTGCAGATTTTTATAGACTGAAATAAGATTTTACTGCTTTCCACTCCTCTTAGGCCTACAGAGGCCAGACAACTCTGGGCGAGTGAGCCAGATTTGTTCCAGACTCACACATCAACGTAACTGTTAACTGAATTGCAGCGGCAGAGCCGGTGGAAGCGACGATGTGCCCGCCAGGACAAACAGCTACGCTTTCGCGTCCCCGGAGAGCTCACGGGGTGCGTGGCGGGGAGGCGGGGGGCGGGGGGGGAAAAAGGAAAAGCGAAAACACGGTGCTTTTCCTTACCTATAAACTAGCTTGTTTTGAAAAGGAAAAAAAAAAAACAAAAAACCACTCAGAGGCCTCTGAGGCTTGAACAGTTCTTGTAAGAGCAGCTCCCTGGGTTGTACCTCCCTGCGGGAGGGGGCATCCCAGCAAAGCAGAGGAGACTTTAAAGCCGCGTTAGAGGCAGAGCGGGGAAACTGGAAAGAGAAGGATGGGAAAGTCCAAAAGGGATTTTCTTTTCCTGCTTGGCTTGAAGAGATAATTCAATTCCTTTAACATCTCCCTTATGCGGACAGTTTCTTACAATCTTTTGGATGCTGAGCTTGGGCTTCTCCGAAATCATATAAACCTGACCCCCCCCCCCACCAACCCACTCGAGCTTCTTTTTTCTGTTTACTACATCAGGAAACAAATCTCGTTTAGAGGGTGACCGCTTTAACTCACTATCTGCATTTATGAAATGTAATGTACGTATTTGGTTTCTTTGAAAATCTCCCGTTACAGTACTGGGAATGTTACTCTGATGTATGTGTACTCAAAATAAATAGTTGGTAGGATAAGACCTAATTCATTTTAGATGGTTTTATTAGGCGTCTCTTAACAAATCCCAGAGTATGTAAATGAAATATAACTGTACGTACATATTCATCAGTCTGTTCTTGGAATTAAATACGAGCGCTGTGACATTTGGTTTTAAGGAATGACTAATTAACATGTGTGCAGGATGTTCTCATCTTCCTGGTTTGGAGTCCTGGAGTCAGGGAGAAGCAGACAAAACATATTTCCACTCTTCTTTGCAAAGCAGAAACCTTTTTGTGACAGCCAAGAACTTCTCGGGCTTTTTCGTACCTGTTCTGTGCTGACATGGGGCCCCTTGCTGAGCACTGACTGTTGTTAAATGTCATCTCTTCTGCGCTTCGACAGAAATCACATAAAAATATTTCAGCATTATGTCTGAACTTGCTTTTAAAAATCACATCTACAAGTTACATAGCAAAGTAAAGAAGAGAACAACTTTTTGAGTATATCCACTATTGCTGGTGATTTATCTTCATGGCTTAGTGAATGGATACTGGAAAGTTGGGCTCAGCGCTAATGTGCTCCCCAGCAGCACTGCTTCAGAGATATTCCCTGGCAAAACCTGAGATGGAGCCTGCCGGGCTGTTTTGGGTTCGGTTGTTTTGAGGTCACGCTCGGGAACACCGGGCTTAACTGCGCTGCTGATAAAGTCGAGAGAAAAGCTCGCATCTCTTTCAGCAGCGCTGGCTAGCGCAGCTTTTGTCTGTGTGCAGGGCATGCACTTTTTGCCGTAGAAAAATAATTTAAAAAAAAAAAAAACCCACCATAATTTCTTTTCAGCATCTCACTGACACGGAGAGCCGTGAGGGAGCTGGGGGAGGGCCGGCGCATCGAGCCGCCCCGGCTGCGGGTCCTGGAGAAGTTGACGGAACACACAAACCTCTATTGTGTCTTGCAAACAGCGCTCTATTCAATGTAACCAGGCAGATGGGAAGGCCCTTTGATTTCCTTTTTCTTTCTCCGGCTGAGTTCATTCTCTCCTTTGCTGGGAGTCAGGTTCAAAGACATGTCAAACGCGTCAAGCCCATCGCAATAAAGTGCCTTTCACCTCCCGGCAGACCGCGGCGGTGCCGGGAGTGCGCTGGGGAAGCGTCCCCCCGCCCCGCTCCGCCGCTGACTTTCAGGACTGTGTGTGGCAAATCGCGGGCACGGCTACCGTTAACAATAACGTGAATTGTGCGTCTAATTCCCTGGAAATTAAACCCCTCAGCTGTTCAGGGAAAACAGAAGCCAAAGGGATTAAACACCACAACAGGAACAATCTTTTGGGTTTTTTTTTTTTCTTTTTTTTTTCGGTTTTGGTGGGGCTCGGTACTGCCAGGTCCCCTTCTTCTTCCTTTGCCCCCTCCCAGCCTGGCCTTTGCCGCTCAGTGGGCAAAACTCCGTGGGCTGGTCCCGTGCTAACACCCCAGCCGGTGAGCTCGGGCCGGGCAATCGCAGCACTGCTGTCAGGCTGCCAAATTCATTTAAGCGGGCGCCAGGGAGCCGGCGGAGGGTGCCGAGCCCCCCCATCCCGCCGACCTCGCTGTGCGCGCTCGTGTCCAGCCAAGGCAAGTGTCCTCCGTCCCCCTTAGGCCGCCCTGGCGAGCCTCGCGCGCGCTCGTGTTAGCGGAAACGCTTGCTCGCCCTGGCTCCCAACCAGCCGTTTTCAAGATTTGCTCTGTCACAGTTATTTATCCCGGTGCAAACTCCCTGGTTCGGGCTGGAGCTCTTCCGGTGTCCGGAAGGCTGAAATAGTCTCCCTTAGTTGGCTATCCTTGCATTAAATTGTCGACGTTCCAGACTAGGACGTGCTGCGCTCGTGCGAGGCACTGAACGACCGTACACTTCGTAAAAGCACAAGCTCTGCTTCTTAGCAAGTGATCTTCCTCTGCAGCGCTGCTTTTTAACGGATATCAGTCAAAACTTAGTGGGCCTAGCGGTGGCCATTTTTCTCCCCCAAAAGCAGTTTCCTATGTGTTTTACTGGCAAACCCTGACGCTTCCTTTACACGCTTTATTCTCTTCCTCCTCTGAACCGATCGTTAGACAAAAGCAGTTTTGCTGCTGGTTAATCAAGAGAGTGATGTGGCCCTGCATTTTAATCCTAAACCAATTAGCAGGATTTGACATCATGCCATTAGACTGCTGGAAACAAAAATCAAGGACAGCGTAATGCAGCTAGAAAAGAACAATAACCATCAGCAATGCCCTGTCAAAGGGGAAGTAAGAAATTCAGCTGTGTGTGTAATTTCCAAACAATTCCCCCTTCCTTCAAACCTGAGCGTTCGAACGAGGAAGCTAAATAATAACGAGAGGAAAAATGTTGAATCTCTAACCACATTAGCCTTGACTGCACCGATTTTAAAAGCAGGAATCACTGTTCTTGCTTCTGAACCGGCAGAGATCGTCTGCTTTTTTTTTAGTACCGATTTCTGTTCTGTCGTTTATTCAGCCAGTGTTTTCTGCTTTGCTTTGCAGGAGGGTTAGACACACACCAGGAGCCACGGCGCTGCCGGCGTCTCCCGTGCAGATGTACAGCGAGGGCTCCTGACGGGCGCGCACCAGCATTTGGCCTCCCTGAGAAACAACTTCTCGGGCATCTAAATGTTTTCTTTGTCCAAACCAAGCGCCCAAAGATAATTGATTAATTAAGCACCTTTTAGCAACTGTAGCTTTTTCTGGCAGAAATGCATCTGAAGAGCTTGCCTGAGGGCCTGATCCTCCTGAGGCTTCGTGCCCCGAAATGCTGTGATTGCTGCCTTGCACCATCAGCCTCGGTGAGATCTTCCCCGAACCTGGGATTGGAGCCAGGCTGGCATGTGTTAGCCTGATCGCGGCTGCTGTCTGCAGGCAGTAATAACCCTCGCTAAGATGTGTGGTTTGAACAAAACGCAGGCAGGCCCTGGAGTGCGGTATTTGAGGCATGAATGCCTAAAGCACATAAGCGACTCTGCTCCTTGCTGTGCTCCTGACGCTGGCAGTGTAGAGTCTGAACAGGAGTAAAACACAGTAGCTCATAAAGCAGCATATGGATAGACCGCAAATGGATAGTTTTATGTCCTGTGCAATATTTTCATTGATATTTATTTTGATTTAATTTGGCTAATGTGCAAGAAAAATGAAAATGTACTGTGCTCTTCAACATCTGATGAGGACCTGAATGCTTTTTAAACTTAGTGTTAGCGCACAGGCAGCGATCTCTAAGGTCTGCCTGGCAGCTCTGCTTGAAAATCATGAGTTGCTCCACGTAAGTCATGGAACGACCCTCAGATCAGCACGATTTTAAAAAATGTTGAAATGTTTCTATTAGCTTTATAGTATTCTAGTCTTCCTGCTTCAGCCTTTTGTCCATAACTTAATTCTCCTTTTAATGAAAATGGAGTTTCCCACACTTCCAAAGTACTTCGAAGATGTGTTAAAAAAGTGTCAAATACCATGAGATTCATGATAAAATGGTGAGAGATGGCAACGCTCCGTATCTCCACTTTGTCAGAAGAGAGACTGAAGCCGAGCTAGGAAAGGACAGGAATGATGGGCCACTAATTGTAGCAGAAGCTTTGGAGACCAGGCTACAAATCTCTGCCAAAGACTTCCTGCGTCAACGTGGACGAGTGACATAAATCTTCCTCTGTTGTAGTTACCGTCTGCAAAACGGGATAAAAAGATTCCATTTCCTCCAAGGGGATTTGGAGACATAAATGCATTAAAAGAGGAAAAGTCCCGAAAAGCAGCAGAAATGGCAGGGCAGCGTACAGTCTTTGGTCGAAGTCTGGAGAAGAACACAAAAATATTTCCCCAGAGATGTTAACTGCAAATAAATTTTGTGTCTGCCTGCAGAAGCAGCGCTCCATAAACTTCACAGCTCTCACTTTTTGTAAGAATAGAGGTGAATGAGGACGCCCCTGTGGCTAAGGTAAAGCAGGAGGCAGCGGTGCTGGATACGTGGGACGTCCTGCTGGAAGCCCACCTGCCCTGGGCAACCTGCAGCGGTGCCTGAGAGCTCGCGCTCACCCCAAAACTGGAGATGTTGTGTCCTCGTTCCTCCCTGTGTTAATATAAGAACAAAAAAGGCATTTGCCTTTTTGCGGAACAAATTTGGTTAGTGTTGAAAAGAACCCCAAAAGCTGGGACAAAGCCTGCTTTGTTACCTTTGGACACAGCGCACTGCGGAAGTTTCTCGAATTTTGCTTTGACATCTCTTGAATAAAAATGTGTTCTCTCAAAGAGCGATCAAACACATCCTTCTGACATGAAACGGCTGCCAGGGTAGTCAAAGGAGCTGCAGATGAGATTCCTCGGGGTTCTTACGGCAGCAAAATGTTTGTCCTGTGGATTTGGGCTGTATCCAGTAAATCCAAAAAGTGTTTAGAGTGATTGTTTGACCAGTCCTGCAAGGGAAAAAAAAAGAGTTAAACGAACCAAAAAGCAAAACACAAAACAAGAAGCAACAGGAAAAAACCTTTGTATTAAAATAATGATAATATTGAGACACTGGGAAGGAAAAAGGAAATTCAGAAGATCAAAGGCTGAACCTTACCCTGAGTCTTAAACTGAACTGGAAAGAAAAGGAATGAAAATTAGATTCACTTGGTCAGACCCTTTAAACTGTGCTTGTGACTTTAAAAAGCAAAGTATGTGCCAAACAAATAGCAGCATCAAACTTGTGAATCTCTGAAGTTGGCAAGTGCATCTTGAGCTGGAATGAATGTAATGTATCCTACAAAAAGATATGGTATCGCATAAAAAATTACTGATTCTGTATTTCTTCTACAATGTATCTCGCTGAGATTTACAAAAGAAAGCTACACTTGCATGTTTTTAAACTGTTATTGTTATCACAATGCAAGTTTTGTAATCATAACATTTGGGGAAAAATAACTGTTTTTATGTACAGCAACAAATGAAAAATAGCTGTGCTAATCTAGAGTAAATCTGGAAAAAAAATTCTTTAAAACAAGGTATGGGCAAATTCATCTCAAAATGGAGCAAAGAAAGATGTGTATCCATAGTCTGATATTACTGAAGAATTGTAAAATAAAGAAAGAAACGGCATATGGTTTTAACACAATGGTGTTTCTGCTGTATTCAGGCAAACAAATATATTGGCCAATGTCTGAGGTAGTACTGGGATGCATTGAAAGCACTACAAGTACTTGGGGGTTTCCAGGTGTACGTTCCACATGAAGTCTAGGGCTTTAGCTTTAGTAAGAAAAGTTGCCTATCTGAGAACTATGTTTTTGCTCGTTTTGTTCCTAGCCTCAGAAAACAAAAAAATAAACAAACAAAAAAATCTGTTGTGAAGATACAGTTGCCCGCTTTTGGTTTTCAGCTACAAAGTCGATCTCCTTAGGCTTGCATTAAATTTGTGCGCATCTGTTTTAATTCAAGTTGATCCATTTTAATCTTGGCAGCATGCTGACGGCAAACGGGAACGAAACGGCATTCGGCGAACTCTGCTTGTACCGGCGATACCAGAGACAAAGCAGCAAAACTCGGGTTGTCTCCCGGACTCGGTTCCGCAGCTGCACTTCGGAGGGAGCTGCGCAGTCTAGGCGGCACAAGAGCCTTTCGCTGTATGTACATGATATTTTTTTTTCATAGCCAAGCCGTTATCATCATAATTGTATTTGTAATTCCAAGGGTGCATTATCATACTAATGGATGATGACCACTCAACAGTTACAAGAAACATTAATTAAAAAAGAAGTTCTCCTGTCCTAGTAGGGAGAGTGTTCCCTAATCCCCATTATGGAAATTGGTTAAGCCAAGAGAATATTTCCTTTATAGTTTAAGCTTTTCAGAAAGCCTTTGATGTCCTAAGCCAAAGCAACTACCCATCAGGAACTGAGAGACATACTTTGGTCCCCCATGCCAGCTTTTTACTTACTTCTGTCATTTAATTTCCCCCATAATATGGGGTAAAGTCTTAGCCAACATCTTCATTTTCATTCATTAGTGAAATCATCATAACAGTAACACTCTGCACTTATCTCTATCTTAGGCACTTTGAAAGTATCTGTCACTGTGATATGTATTTATAAAGAGCCCTCCATCCAAAAATGACCGGTCAGTAAAGTTTCCGAATATTGAAAAGGTCAAAGCACTACAGGACTCTGTTATTATCACTTAGAAATATATGAGGCATAAAAACTGTAATGGTGGGAAAGGTGTAAAATGTAGCAGGCTCCCTTGATAGCGCTGGGGCTGTCAGTGCGAACTCTGCTTTCCATCCCTGCCCCAGGCGTCGCAGCTCTCCTCTCTTTCTTTTGTTTTCCGTTTTTTCCCCCCCCTTAAATAAGAGGTCATTTTGTGTCGTGCCAGACGGTGCTTTGTTCATCCATTGCGGCGCTGTCCTTTGCAGCTTTAATCTGCAGAGGTAGGCTACAGCCTGAAACAATTTGAAAGCCAACAAAATACGTGCACAAAAAATTACGGCAGCTTCTATGTTCTAGAAGGGAAAAAAAATGTCCTAAAGAGCTCTCTTTATTAATATGAGATGGCAAATATTTTTTCCTGTTTATTAAATCATATGAAAGGTTAATTATGGTTAGCGACTGTGGGTAGAAAACAATTCTTGGAAGATGCTTTTGTAACAACAGGTTGGCAGTATGCAGAAGCCATCTGCTTCCTGCAAATGTTAAGGTACAATCTTAAACTTGTGAGGTTAAAAATTACAGATTGCATAGTAGTTTGGTAGAAGGAAAATCCATGTTGTGTTGATGTAAAGTTTCTTAGTCTCCTTGACACGCAGCCTGGAAGGAATGCCAAGTTCCCTAAAGGACTGTATTTGGCTGGAGAGGACCCTAACACGGGGTAGTCTGTACTCACGCTCACTGGCTACTAAGCTAATTAAGCAGTTTGGGGGGGGTCTGCAATTTTTTTCTTATGTGTATAAATTGACTTTAAATCCTGACCCACAAAGAAGAGTAGACTGTAGATATAATACGTGCTGCTTTCAAGCAGAGAATTCAGTTTCTTCCACAAAGGAATAGAAAATGTTGCTATTATTATCAAGGTGAATGGCTCCCGAAACTTGTTGCTTCAATTTGCAATTTGTAAGCTTAACAGAAAGTGTAAACTCTTCAGGCTAAGGATTATCTGTTGAAAAGGAAGAACTATTAGCCAATGTTTTATATAGTGAGCTGGGCAGAACGATATTAAGCGATTTGTCCAAGAGCACGCAGGGAGGTTGTGGCTGATGGAATTAAACCCAGATTTTTCAGATCGCAGCTAAGTGCCTTAACCGCAAAACCATCCTTCCTCTCTGCGGATCAGCTACTGTAACTTCAGCGCTGGGGCTGGCTTTTTCAAGCGTGTTTATCTTCTTTCAAGGATCAAGTTTAATTACGCAGAATTTTCCACTGCCACAGAGAACATCACCCAGTCCTTCCTTTCTCTCTACAGGTAATTCATCATTGCTCAGCTCTACCTGCTCCCTGTTGAGGAAATACAGGTTCAGCCAGCCAGAAGAGGAAGGATCAGGTACTGTGACTTGCTTCCCTCCTGCCTGTCGCCTTTGCTTTTCCACCAAATGGGGAGAAAACTCTTCTTTCTTCAGTGACCCGATTCTGGGATGATGTCATGTAACCCTCAGCCCCTTCCCTGCTCTCATGATTTATGCACGAAAACCTCCCTGGGCTTGTCCCCAGGAACCGGCTGGCTGGATGAGTGCTGAAATGCTGTTATGTTAAAGGGCTCATTTCCAAACGTAGCAGGCGACGGAGATACCAAATTGTTTACTATGCATGAAAACGGTTCAGAGCCTTGTTTCTAGCGTGTCTACCCTGAGCAAGTTTGTCAAGGGTACATTTGCGCGTACGGGGTTTTTTGCCTCAACGCTGTGCTATTTTTTAACAGAAATTTTTCAGATAGACTTTTTAAAATGCACCCTGTAATGTATTTTTACCTTCCCCTGTCTCTGCACTGAAGCTGGTGATCCGCTGCGTTATTGAAACATCCTGCCCGGAGCAGTGGCCTGCTGTCAAGAGCCTGCGGACGGCAGGTAGCAGGACCGACCCGTTAGGCAGCGCTGCAGAACACCTTCCCATTAACGTTGAATCATTTACGGCAGCCTTGCCGTCTCGCAAGGTTGGTGCTTACAGTGTCCCTGTCCTTACTAGGGCCATTAGCAGGAGGTCCTGCGCTACTCGACATTATCCTCCTCCGCAGCCATTAGGGCTGCAGCGTTGTTTGTGCGCGCGGTCATGATCGCAGGGCTTCTGGTGGGCTCCAGTCTGAGGGATCGTCTACTTCTGCGCTGAAATCTCTCTGCTGGTGAATGAGGAGCCAGCTCTGCTCATCTGCCTGTCATTTCATCCGCAGGCCTGGACCTTTCTTTCTGTTCTTTACACTCTGTTCTCTTAAGGAAGTAAATGATCGTTACTGGTAATACCAGCAATGCTTTCATCAGGTGCCCCAGTGCACTCAATAAGAGCTGGCTCTTGCAAGTGTGAGGAACTGAGGCACACAGAAATTAGGGATGAGATTTTCAATCCCACGGAAGGGATTTGGATGCCCAGCATCCATTAAAATGAGTAAGAATTCATGGACCGCCCTACATGGCCGTAGCCCAATTTGCTACATGAGACTGAAACCATCCTGGTTAACGCAGGGACACTTAAGCCCTCAGCATCTGACTTCACTTATATTTTATTTCCAGAAAACTTAGTTGCTAATGTCCAATGAAACACTTCTGCACCCCCCTGCACCCATTACCCTGCCTCTGACAGCTCCTCGGGTCGCTGCTTGCCAGCTCTGCTATCAGGGGACGGTGATGAAGGTAGCTAATTTGTTTGCAAGTTGGTGAATGATGTAAAAGGTTCCTCGTCCATCATCATAAAGGCTCTCGAGAAAAAGAGACAAATGGTTGTTCCTTTCACTTTGCCTGCACTATATGGGGACATGTGAAATGGAGGGAAAGTGCAGCAGGCCCAGATGCACCACGGGATGCACACAAATCACAGCGGTGGCTAGTTGGATCCAGAAAGCTAATTGGTCCCTCATGGCTAGCCAGTGTTACGCAGGAGGTCATGGTGCCGGTACTGCGAGGGACGTGGGGCTCAGCCTGTTGCGCGTGGGCACGTCCGTGGGTCCGGAGCTGCCCGAGCGGCCTGGGCTGCTTCGACTTTCGCTGGCTTGAACTAAACCTCCCACGATGTCTGCCAACTGCGCCTCCACCGCAGAATAACACTGGGCAAGTGTCTCCACCGCAGAGTGTTGAGGGACGCCCCTTAAACCGCCAGCAATAAGGACGTTTCCCATGACCCCTTCTGTCCCAAAGTGCTGCCCTGGTGTGGCAACCTGCTTGTCCAGGCTAAGCTACAGCAGTATTTTTAACCCTTTCTAGACTTGGCAGCAACACCATCACGGCAGCCCCTTCCAGGTGTGAGATGACCCAATGCCACCAGGCGCTGGATGCAGACGGTCCCCAGGTATGCGAAGACGGCTGGGAGGGGGAGCCTGGGAGTCTGGTCTCAGGGGGACCAAATAGCTCAGATTCATTTTAGGCTGGGAGAAGTTCCCAAGTCTTCTTATTTTATGCAAATCTCCTCAGCCAATCCTAATTTTCATAACGTTGATTAATCATTGTGCTGCAGACAAGGACAGTTATTCCCTAACTTATGCCATGGCATTTATTGAAGCTGTATTCTTAAATGAATTACTGCAGGGATCATTAAATTTTGACTCAAATTGGACATAGTAAGCTCATTTAAAAAAATAAAAAGCTTAGCAAGTTATATATAAACTAGGGGGAAAATGAATCTCCCCAAACTTTCCACCTTTTAAGCAGCAAGTTAAAGGGCAGGTTTTCAAGGGGGAGTTTAACCTTCAGCCCCCTCCCGTTTTCACGAGCGAAGTTTGAAGCTGGATTTGTGCACTCCTAATTGAATTGTGGGCTCAAAAGCAGGTGCTTTATACTCATTCTGCTCGACTGGTGCTGTAAAACAGGCAGCAACCGCTGCACCGCGGCTGGCCCCAAAGGCTGCGCTGGCAATAGCGATATTGCCTGCCCAGGCAGGGAAGGGGACACGCACCGCCGTCTCCGTGGGACAGCCTGTCCGCGCTGGCCGGGGCCGCGTTTCGCAGTGCAGGAGCTGGATGAGAGCAGGGTGACCCAAAGAAGAGGGAGGCAATTTTTTGATGAGATTGCAGAAAAACTTCCCTGGAAAGAAACAGGCTTTCGGTTCCCCGGCGGCAGGTGAAGTTGCCTTTGCCATGCCGCCAGCCTTGCCCGTTCCTAAATATGTTTTTCCTCTCTAAAACCCTACAGGCCCCCTTGGGGCAGAGCAGCACCGCGTAAAACTTGGAGCACTTAATCCTGTCCATAGGAATATCCAATATTTATTTATTTAAAAAAAAAAAAAAGAGGGGCTGCATTTCTGCCTATTTAATATACGTTTTCAGGTAGGGGAAAGACTGTAAAGCAAAAATAAGGTGATAAACTAGGTTTTTAAGAGTAGCAATATTCAGATCTGTCCTGACGTCCAACTTTCATAGCCCAGTCACGCTATACCCGAGGAAGGTGTGAGCTCAGAGCGTAAAAGGATTCCAACTAAATACGGTGCATCAGCCACCTCTCAATTTTCCATGCCTCTATATATTTTAATTAAGACTCTAAATTAATTTTTCACTTTGTTGCAAAATTTCCTTTGGCAAGGCCATAAGTGAGTGAGAAATCTCTTGGGAAACAGCACGTTTTGCTAGTGAAAGGAAATCTACTTTCTTAAAATGACCATGATGAAGTGAACTCCAAAGGGCCGCACCATTTAATGTACTGTCATTTCATGCGGACCTGGGGGTCTGTCTAGCTGGTGGCCTAGCAGGAGATTTCTAGACAACCACGCATACAAAAAAAAAAAAATTGCAAAATGTGCTGTGCTTTGGATGTTTTAAAATGCATGCTAAATACAGAGCTAACCTATGCGTGAACAAATAAAGAAAGAAAATAATGGAAAGCTTCTGTTATTATGTAACCCCTTTGTGTTTTCCCGCGGTGGGACCAGCAGACGCGCAGCACGGGCCCTTGCCGCTGGTGCCTTCCTCCATCGCCCCTGCCGCAAGGCCGAAGCACGCCTTCTCGGGCTGGAAATTTCTATTGCATCGCCATCTTGTGGTTTTTGCCAAAAACGCTGGCGTTGCAGAATTCCCTCCTCACACCGCGAATGCTTTAGTGCATAATGGCACCTATTAACCGCAATATCTACTAGACGTGAGGTACATGGACAATTTCAATTAATATTGCATAGCCGAGCCCGTAACAGTGAAGCTGGTCGTTATCTGCGGAGAAGGCAAAGCATGTTACAGAGCTGCTCTGCAAGAGCAACGGGGAAATGGCAATTACAATTTGTATTTGCATGATGTCGTTCCAGACTTTTTTTCCCAGCAGAGCTGCAGGGTCTCGGATGTTGGGAGTGGGAGGTTATTTGCTGTGCTGGCCAGAACGGCGCAGCCTTCCTCATGCCTAGAGGCAGCTCGCCTGCGGGAGGACTTTTTCTCGCCCGTCTTCTCTGCAGAGCTGTTGTGGCCGTGGTGCGATCAGCAGATGGGACATGTCTGAAGGGAACATTTCCTGCGTTCAGCCAGGCCCTGCACGTGCGTGACAGCACGTCTGTCAACGGAAAGCTCAGCTTTCCCTTTTCCATATTATGTTTGCTCGTGGGCTTCCCCCATACCAGGTTGCTCGCTCTCCTGGTGTCACACAAGCTTGGGAACTGCACCTTTGCCAGATAGGCTTTGGTTTTGCAAACACAAAGCCAAGGATAGGTCAGCCCCTGATCTCCTCTGGCTGCGGTGGGGAACTTAGGGAAAAACTGCGTTCTCTGATGGTTGCAGTTTGGGAAAGCTGCAGTTGTGTCACTGAAGATTTAGCACAAATTTGATGAGGACGAGGAGAGGCTGAATTGCCAACTACCGGGAAGCAAGCTCACCTCCAAATTATGAAGCATGTTGTGACTGTAATTTGGAGTTGGACATACAGCACACATATAAGCAATTGCATTTTTGTAAGTGTAATTGTTTTTCACATAATTTTACTTTAATTCATTTGAGCTGTACTGAAACTGCAAAGGGCAAAAACTAGATTTCTAGATTTCTGATGCTTATTATACCATAATTCTGGCACTGGTACTGGCTTGGGGAAGGGTCACTTACTTTGACCCATATTAGTGTTTCTAGTTAAATAAAGATGCAGTTTTTTGCAAAGACCTGCACATATGCTTAGGCCTTTGGCCACGCTTTGCACCTATGGTTTATAAAAGTCTGTCAAAAACTGGGCACTGCGATGCAGTTTAACATGACCCAGCAGCATTCATCCCCAGAAAAACTCCAGCCCTGTAAAGCAGCTCAGCGGGGCAGGGCTGCGCAGGAGCGCCCCTTTGCAGGGCCTGCGAGCACGGGGCTGTGACTGCGAGCAGGGAGCTTTGCAAGGCTGCGAGCACAAGCTTGTGGCTGCAGCGAGAGATTTTTGCATAGCTGCAAGCATAGGGCTATGATTACCAGGAGGGATTTTAGAAATGTTGCGAGCGCAGGGCTGTAACTGCAAGGGCAGTATTTTACACGGTTGATTGCAAGGAGGGATTTTTTACAAGGTTGTGAGCACAGGGCTGTGATTGCAAGGAGGGAGCGCTGCAAGGCTGCAAGGCAGGGCTGTTTGCACCCAGGCAGAGCCCCAGTGCCGCAGTGAACTGGGATCTCATTTACACCTATTAAACTCCAGCATGAAATGGCGCTATTTCATGGGCTATTTCTGCTTCCTCCATTTGCTCTGTGCTGGCCTGGGGAAAATGGGACCATGACAATTTATAGTGTTGCCTGAGCCAGCAGCAACCTGTGGGAGCACGGAGGCTGGGGAGCCCTTGCAGTCAGGGCTCAGAGAGGACCAGGGATGGGCAGAGGTTTCCGGCCATGGTTCAATAAAAGCAAGGCTGCAGCTGCATTGCATCAGGGTCTTGCAAATTGGAGCTTGACGGGCACATGATCTCCATTTTGAAAAAACAGTGTATCCGGTAGGCAAAAAACCGACAGACCTGCCTCAGCCTCTTCTCAGAAAATGAAGAGAATGAAAAGATGCAGAAAGGTACTAATTTCAACACCTGGCTGGAGAAAAATTACACTGCAGTGCAAATATAACAAAATATCATGTATTTAATTAGGCTTAGTGTGAACAAAATAAGGCTTTTCAACATTGTTGTTTGCTTGGCCCTCTGCTTTCAGATTAGTAACCCGTTGACTCTCTTAAACTTGAGGTTTTTGTATTTAATTGGTCTATGAAATGTGAAACCCTGGCAGCAAAAAAAATTATGATGCTTTGGGGGCTCTTCTTGTCAAGCCAGTAGCATATTGCATGTACTGATTTGATGGTGATGTTCAGTTAATCTGTTACTGTACACAGAAAAGAAGGGTGTTAACTGTGAATGGTGCAGATGTCCTTCAGTCCCTACGGGCACCAGGCTCTAAAGATGGACCATGGGAGACCTCAAAGGATCTATCTTCTGATGGGAGCGTAAAGAAAGATGGTTGATGGATTCACTGTTAGGGATGAAAAACTGCAGCTCTCTCTCTGAGACTTTAGTCACCAGTGTTTTGGCAGTGGGGAGTAACTGGCAAGTCCCACTCGAGAAATACCACATTTGAAAAGACCAGCCCAGCTTTTCCATCTCTTTCTAGTCTGGACTTGCTCGGCTAGTGCTGGGGAATTCAGCCCCACGTACCCGGCTGGGAGCAGAGGTGACTCTGAGCACACCGAAGTTGGCCAGCCCTGAGCAAAGCTGGTTCCCCCAGCCCAAAATATGCTCTCCAAACATGCTAACGACAACCCTTCAGGCCAAGCAACTCAGCCGATCTGGTCAAAATTTCCCCGTTGCTGTTTCTTCTTGATATAAATGGATTATCTCTTTGCACAGCGCAGCATCCGTGCCCCTGGATTTCCTCAGCAAGGCGAAGGAGACTGGGAATGTTGAACCTCAGCCGGCAGTTGGGAAATTGCCTCCTTCTAATACAAGCCAGACCTGTGGAAACCCTCCAGGTCTCCAAAGCCCTCAGCAGCCCAATCAGGACTTTGATGATGAAAAGCAGAATAAAGACGAACAGGAAGAAAGCGAGTTTAAACAAGCCCAAACAAGAAACAGCAGATTTGGGGATAGCCAAGCGAGTGTCTGAAGGCAGCCCCAGCTGTTTGAACTGTACGGTCTGCCCCTGGAGAAAGCAGAGAAACCATGGCAAACACCTCATGATGAAACGGCTGGAGATTCCCAGATCTCGCTGGGGCTGTGGAGATACTGCAGTGTGCGCTAAGCACCAGAACTTG